ACATTTTAAAGATAATGAACAAAAATTATAAATAAGCTGGAAGGAAGATAAAGATGCCAGATTTCGGAAAGACACAGGAAAATATCGATGTAGAGCCGCCGATTTCATTAAGCAGTGTAACTGTAAGTTAAGTGTTACCATGTTAGGTGATTTTATCCTGAAAAAGGTTGTCTAAGGTTGTTAAACCTCATTCTCCATAACAAGTCTGCAACAATTTCCCGGGTTTCACCCGACTGGCTGTTAAGTTTTTGCTGAATATTTTTATACAAAAACGAAAGTCAGTAGATTATTAAATGAATGAATGCGAAAAATGGAAAGTGAGGATTTTGGTAACTTTTATAAGTATAACTTTAATAGTCAAGTATGATGCAATTGCGAGCTGCATATTTGGAGAACCACATATGAACTACATCTAATCAAACTATGAAGAAGGCTAATGTAAAAAATGGTACCATTACTCTATCAGAATCCATAATTGTATGTAGACGATGAGCTATTGTAAGTACTGTTGCATCACGAAAGCATTCTTTGATTGTCCGCTGGATGAGACTATCGGTCCTGGAAAAAATCAAGAGATAGGTGGAGAAAAATTCTGGTAAATTCAAGAAAATCCCAGTGGAGTCTGGGGAAGACCCTGATTATATCACTGAAATACCACGTCACTTACACTGGATCAACGTTTGCGGTAGCTTCATCAATGACGAGAATTCTTGACTGTCGCAGTAATGCGCGTGCCAGGCAAATCAACTGTCGTTGTCCAACAGAGAAATTTGCACCTCCTTCTTGCATGTGCGTTTCTAATCCCATTGGTAACTCAGCAACCGCATTCTTCAGTTCAACCTGAACACAGAAAATGGAATAAAGCGGTGAAAAGTTCTGAATAAAAAATTTTAAAAAAATGGGATAAAGCAGCTGGAAGGTTCCGGATAAAATAATTTTACACTAAGATTTATCGGAGAAATAGAAGGTGGAATCTCAGAAAGTTGTTGTCCACTTTATCCGCATATAGATACATATTAATTTTAATACTTTTCCACTGGTACCATACTAATATGATGCAACGTCACTGTCATCACCAACCTGTTCCAGAACTCTCCATACTTTTTCCGCTGGGTACTCATCAAAAGGATCTAGGTTCTTGCTTAGGGTTCCAATAAACAACACCGGATCCTGAAAATATCAAGTGAAATTAATTGTAAAAATAACTGAGGCTGTGTTGCCTCAGTTATTTTTGTTTTACTACTCTCAAATAAATTAGCGTGAGGGATGAACAGGCTAACCACGAGACGATGCAGCCCTGGTCAAGACGATTGGAAGATTTGTAAACTGCATAGCTGGAGAAGCAGACTACGAAATATCAACAAATTTAAGCATTCTAGGTATAGGTATCAGCTACGGCTTGTTTTACTGATTAGTAC